TGTACCAGTTATAACCAATCAATATGTGAAATATAAAGTCCTTGACCTTTGAACTAGTGACCCCATTATGACTAATAAATATGTGAAATATGAAGACTGTGTGATAAAAAGTTTTCAAGGTATTAAGCGGAAATAATATTTACATTTAAGGCCCCTGTGACCTTGACCTTTAAACTAGTGATCCCAAAATCAATAGGGGTCATCTAATAGTTATGACCAATCAATATGATTAATCAATATGTGAAATATGAAGACTTTGTGATAGATTTCAAGATAATAAGCGGAAATTACTCTGATATTTAAGATCCCAGTGACCTTAACCTTTGAACTAGTGACCCCAAAATAAATAGGGGGCATCTACTAGTTATGACCAATCAATGTGAAATATAAAGACTTTGTGTTTAGTTTTTAAGATAATCAGCCGAAATACATAGCTTCACAATGGTACTCATGATAATGACCATTAATGTGTTTCAATAAATGATGACTAAATGGTCCAAATACATATTTTCATTTTTTTTATCACAACTTTGACCCCTATGTGTGACCTTGACCTTGAAATTTTGCATGCGACACTGCGCGCTCACCATAGTGAACAATTGTGCCAAGTTATATTGAAATCCCTCTATGCATGTAGAAGTTTTGCTCTGGACAAGCGTTTTTCAATGACCTCTGTGACCTTGACCTTTGGCCTAGAGACTTGGTTCATGTGCGGGACACTCTTCTTAGTGGTGCAAAATTTAGGTCCCTGTGGCCAAGGTCAAGGTCACATATTGGGGTCAAAGTTCTGATAAAACTAGAACTGCCACTATCATGGCGTGAATACCCCCGCATACCACTTTGTCAGAATCAACAGTGGCTATTTAAAGCTCAAGGACAACCTCCCTGCCAAATCTGAGGTTACTAAGCCAGTGCATTGCTAAGTTATGTATTCTACGTGCTTCAAATGTGAAAATATCAAAAACAATACACTGCGGACAGGCATTCTTAAGCAATTGAGGGGAAAAGATTTTTTTTGTCAAGGTCCCTGTGACCTTGACCTTTTACCCAGTGACCTCAAAATCAATAGGGGTCACCTTATCGTCATGATCAACATCCATGCCAAATATGAAGACTGTGGGTCAAAGGAATCTTAAGATAATGGGTGGACAATCTTTTTTAGTAAAGGCCCCTGTGACCTTGACCTTTGACCCAGTGACCTAAAAATCAATAGGGGTCACCTATTAATCATGACTAACCTCCATGCCAAACATGAAGACTGTGGGTCAAAGGAATCTTAAGTTATTGGGCGGACAAACTTTTTAAATTCAAGGCCCCTGTGACCTTGACCTTTGACCTGGTGACCTCAAAGTCAATAGGGGTCATCTACTAATCATGACTAACCTCCATGCCAAATATGAATACTGTGGGTCAAAGGAATCTTAAGTTATTGGGCAGACAAACTTTTTGAAGTCAAAGTCCCCGTGACCTTGACCTTTGACCTGGTGACCTCAAAGTCAATAGGGGTCATCTACTAATCATGACTAACCTCCATGCCAAATATGAAGACTGTGGGTCAAAGCAATCTTAAGTTATTGGGCGGACAAGCTTTTTGAAGTCAAGGCCCCTGTGACCTTGACCTTTGACCTGGTGGAAAACAATGACCCCCTGGGGCGGGCCAATTTCGACCGTAGGGCTTTTATTTGAACAAACTTGGTAGACACACACCAAAAGATGTTTCATGCCAAAAATCTAAGCTATAGCTATTTGAATTTTTTAAAAGAAGATTTTTTAAGTTTTTACTATATACAAATAAGAAAATCAATGACCCCCTGGGGCGGGCCAATTTGGACCCCAGGGCTATTATTTGCTGGTTTTAGCCTAGATATTGATTTAGCAAAATCATGATTTATGCATTTATAATATCATAAAATTTTGAATTTTAAAAATACCGCCAAAAGGTCCTGGATAGAACTAGAACTGCCTATGTCATGGCGGGAATACCCCCACACACCACTTTGTCAGAATCAACAGTGGTCATTTAAAGCTCAAGGACAACCACCCTGCCAAATCTGAGGGCAGTAAGCCAGTGCATTGCTAAATTATGTATTCAACATGTTTTTTGTGGGAAAGATCAAAGTGATCTTTACCTTTGACCTCAAAACTGAAACTGCCACTGCATGACTTGAATACCCCCATTCATGCAGCTTTGCCTGGGGGTGTTTTATGATGAATATATGAGGACATAATTATATGCTTCAAATGTGAAAACGTCAAAATCAATAACACTTTAGACAAGCATCCTTAAGCATTTGAGCGGACAAACTTCTTGTAGTAAAAGCCCCTGTGACCTTGACCTTTGACACAGTCATGTATAAATCAATAGGGGTCATCTACTAGTCATAACCAACCACAATACCAAAAATTAAGACTGTTGACCAAAGCATTCCTAAGCAATTGAGCTGACAAGCTTTTTGAACTTAAGGCCCCTATGACCTTGACCTTTGATGCAGCCACCTCAAAATCAATAGGGATCACCTAATGGTCATGATCAACCTCCAAGCCAAATATGAAGACTGTGGGTCAAAGGATATTAAAATATTGGGCAGACAAACTTTTTTTAGTTAAGGTCCCTGTGACCTTTGACAAAGTGACCTCAAAATCAATATAAAGACTGTGGGTCAAAGGATCCTTAAGTTATTGGGCTCACCCTTCCAACCTTGACCTTTGACCTAGTGACTTCAAAATCAATAGGGGTCATCTGCCAGTCATAACCAACCTAAATGCCAAATATGAAAACTGTTGACCAAAGCATTGTTACATAATTGAGCAGAAAACCTTTTTGAGCTTGAGGCCCCTATGACCTCAAAATCTATATGGGTCATCTACTAATCATGACAAACCTCCATGCCAAATATGAAGACTGTGGGTCATAGGAACCTTAAGTTATTGGGCAGACATGCTTTTCTTAGTCAAGGCACCTTTGACCCAGTGACCTCAAAATCAATAGGGGTCACTTACTCATCATGTCTAACATCCATGCCAAATATGAAAACTGTGGGTTAAAGGAATCTTAAGTTATTGGGCAGACAAGCTTTTTTCAGTGAAGACCCTTGTGACCTTGACTTTTGATCTCAAAATCAATAGGGGTCATCTACCCTCTATGCAATATATAAAAACTGTGGGTCAAAGGAATTTTAGGTTATTGGGCGAAAAAGCTTTTTTGAGTCAAAGCCCCCGTGAACTTGACCTTTGACCACAAAATCAAAAGGGTAATTAACTTATCATGACTAACCTCCATGCCAAATATGAAGACTGTGGGTCAAAGGAATCTTAAGTTATTTGGGGGAAAGCTTTTCTCAGTCAAGGCCCCTGTGACCTTTGACCCAGTGACCTCAAAATTGATAGGGGTCATCTTCTCATCATGACTAAACCTCCATGCCAAATATGAAGACTGTGGGTCAAAGGAATCTTAAGTTATTTGGGGGACAAGCTTTTCTCAGTCAAGGCCCCTGTGACCTTTGACCCAGTGACCTCAAAATTGATAGGGGTCATCTTCTCATCATGACTAAACCTCCATGCCAAATATGAAGACTGTGGGTCAAAGTAATCTTAAGTTATTGGGCAGACAAGCTTTTTTTAGTCAAGGCCCCTGTGACCTTGACCTTTGACCCAGTAACCTCAAAATCAAAAGGGGTCATGCCAAATATGAAGACTGTGGGTGAAAGGAATCTAAAGTTATTGGGCGGACAAGGAAAAAACCGAAGGATGGCTTGATGTCCAGACTGACAAGCTTATCCAGTATACCCCCCTTACAACTTTGTTGAGCGGGGGGAAAATTAAGCACCTTTTGGTAGCAAAACATATACTGTACTAAATGAAGTTTCGATATACATGTAGACAAATTAATTGAAGAAATTAAAACAAAGTCTCAAATATTAGTAGGAGGTCTTGTATATCAAATTTAGCACAATTACAGTTGTCATTTTTTCATATTTTGCAGATATGGAATGTTCGAGCTTGGATATCGTTTGTGACAAATGTGGGACACGGACAGGTCTTAATGACTGTCAGGATTGATCCTTGGGTGAAGGGCTTTCAAAGTAGTTTAAAGAATTTCATTTCATGCATATTTTAATCTGGTTGCCATGGCAACCAAAAGGAATTATAAGAATGAATTTAAAAAATCTTCTTGTAAAGACCCACAAGGCCTAGAGCATAGATATTTTGCATAAGGCATCGTCTGGTAGACCTCTACCAAGATTATTCAAATTATAGTCCTGGGGTCAAAATTGATTTTCACTATGTACATATAGTAAAAACTTAAAATATCTACTACTCAGAAGGTACAAAGCTAAGAGCTTTGATATTTGATATATAATATCATCTATAGGACCGCTATAAAGGACCTATGCTTTAGGTCCTTATGGTTCTTCCTTTTGTTCCTTTTGGTTGCCATGGCAACCAGATTTCTGCATAGAACAACTTTGAATGCCCTTGAACCAAAGATCATTCCTGGCAAGTTTGATTCAAACTTTAAGGACATATATTTACGAAATTCAAAGTAAAACTGTTTATTGATAAACTGAATATAAACAAAAGTAGCTGTTCACTATACAATGTTTTATGCCAAATATCAAACCCTGGTGAGTCTTGCCGGTTCAGGTTTTTTCTATAAAACCACCTAAGCAAGGGCAAATTTTGACGCAGGGGTATCATCTTAAAAACTTGGTAAAGGCCTACCAGGCAATGATTTATGCTTAATATCTACACACTAAGCATTGTGCTTTCGAAAAAGAAGATTATACTTTTAAAACTTTTCTTAACTCCTGACCTACTTATGCATCAGACCTAAACCATTTATATAACTTGGAATACGAAGATGAAAATAGTATTGCTCAAAGAAATTGTGAATAGCCCCAGATGACAAACGACAGGCACACTGCCAACACAAAAGCTCATTTCTGAGCACTATGTGCTAAGGTGATAGTGCTCAGGAGGTCTAAAACAACATAACCTACCTGAATCTAGAATGTCCAGCAGGCCAGTTAAAGTTGTGCTTTGTTTTGAGATGTGTTGTGAGTAATGCACCTCGTGTAAATGTTTCTATACATACATGACACTGGTAAGTTGCACTTTGTTTCTATAAGATATAAACATTTGTAAAAAACAAGAATCATTACTTCATGTTTATCTATATTTTCATATTCTATGTCAATCATAAATTCTACTACATGTATCATGTTGTATTTTACATTAAAAGAACAAAATGGCATGCAATTATTTTTTTATCGAAATCTTTACACATCGTTAGCTGGCTATGAATAACTGACATTGTTTATTGATGAATTTCATAGTTTCAATTTTATCCATAGCAACTAGGATTCAGAACTCACAATCTTTTAAAATCTGTGAATAAAGCAAGATTGCATTTGTAAACTAGAAATGTGTCGTCACGCCACAGATGCCCCCGCATGCAGCCAAAATTTCAGATGTTATAATATTTAGTTCCAAATTTGTTTGCACAAATTATTGTTTGCATTTTAAGTTCAATTAAAGCCCTTAAAACTATTCAATGTTAACACAAACCATTTTTAAACAAATTTCAAGGCACTGAAACTATTCAGTGTTAACCTTTAGTAAAATGCATATTGCATATTTGTAGCCAAAATAATGGCTTCATACATTTCCACAAAAGTATGAGTGCTGAAACTGAAAATTCAAATTTTTTCAACATTCAAGAAAGATAACTTTGTCCAAAATCATTGAACCACGACCAAATTCAAACTTGAACTGCTTATTCCTAAGATGTATCTATATGTCAAATTTGAGTTAAATGTGAGATAATGAACGGAAACTTAAAATTTCTGATTTTTTTTCAAAGTTCAAGAGAGATAACTCTGTCAGCTATCATCAAACCATGACCAAATTCGAAATTGACCAATGCATTCTTATGACATATCCATATCTTTAATTTGAGTTGAATATGTACAACTGTTGGGGAGATAATGAATGGGAACTGAAAATTTCCTTTTTTTTCAAAGATAACTTTTTTCCCATAACTCTGCCAAAAATCATCGAACCATGACCAAATTCGATCTTGACCTGTGCATTCCTTTGACGTATCCATGTCAAATTTGAGTTGAATGTGTAATACCGTTGGGAGAGATAATGAACGGAAACTGAAAATTTCATATTATTTTCAAAGTAAAAGGGGCATAACTCTGCCAAAAATCATCGAACCATGACCAAATTCGAACTTTACCTGTATTTTCTCATGACATATCCGTACACTCAGAGGCACTTATAACCCGACACTTACATTTTTCGGTATAACTTGGTTATTTGTGAACAGATTTTGTTCAGTTTTTGAACATACAAAATTCAACATATCATACTTATTTATCTAGAATTTTACTTCCAATTCATTAACAAGAAAATAGAGAAAATAACAAAACAAATATGTTACTGCAAAATGAAAAATCACAAAATGACTGTAAATATCGTAACACAATGAAAAGTCTCTAAATCCAACTGATTCTGTATAATAACCAGTTCTAATACTTTCTGTGTCATCCCATGACTATAACAAAGTGTAAACACCTGTCTCATGGTTATGACACTGTGAAGGCTTGGGGAATATTTCTCCATTCTCTGGAAAGAGGGCTTCCTCGAGTTCCAGCAAGTCCTGCATTCCAAGTCACCAGATCTAAACATCACACTTGTCGGCTGAATTGAACAGGCGTGTGAGAAAGCGGCCAAAAGATCCTTGCAATTTGCTGGAACACGAGCAAGCCCTTATTTAGGAAAAGAGAACTTCGAGGCAGAGGTATTTACTTTGTAATAGCCAATTGGGAGGACATACAAAGTGTTAAAACTGGTAAACATACAGATTTAACCTTTTACCCCATGAGCATATTGCGAAAAATGGCCGTTTTCATTGAAAAGCCTCCTGTAACAAGTTCAAACTGCTATGAAACTATGAAAAATGCTTCAATACCAATGAAACTTGGCACAAATGTTGACTACACCATAGCCTCTGCAACAGCATGCTCAACGGTAAATTTCCTGTTACCATGGCAACGGGGGGACGTCTCAAAATTGCCAAAAATCACTATTTTGCATTGTTTTTTTCCATCAAAACTGATTTCAAAGTGCTGCAACTTCTCAATGAATTGAAATAGAGTAAAAGGCTTTTCAGTGTCGGTTACTAGTTACCCTAAGATCGACCTGAGGCCATTTTTAGCCTGTCACATGTCCAAAATTTTCTTGGCGATGAGGGGGACTCTGCCCCCCTTCAAACCCCCCAAACACATCCCCCTTCTGGCAACCCCCTGATGTAATATTTGGATGGGGGACGGCGCCGAAAAAGTGGTCACTTTTTTAACAACATTTCTGAAATGAAAAACAGTGTTGGGGGCCTAAATAGGGCTTTTTTTCACTGTTTGAGGCCTCAAAAAGGGGGGGGGGGGGCAAAAAGCCGTCGAAACACGCTTATATAAGGGAAAAGGTTAATGGGATTTTTTTTTTTTTTCATTTTACAGTAGCCTATTTGTTTTGCTATTTTTTCTATTTTCTTATCGATGAATTGTAAATATAATTCCAAGTAGTAAGTATGATATGTTGAATATTGTAAAGCCCAAATTTGAACAAATTCCGTTTACAAATAACCTATTTATACAGAAAAATGTCAGTGTCGGGTTATAAGTGCCTCTGAGTGTATGTCAAGTTTGAGTTGAATGTGTAATACCGTTGGGTAGATAATGAACGGAAACTAAAAATGTCTTGTATTATTTTCAAAGTAAAAGGGGCATATCTCTGCCAAAAATCATCGAACTATGACAAAATTCAAACTTGACCTGTATTTTCTCATGACATATCCATATGTTAAATTTGAGTTGAATGTGTTGTACTGTTGGGGAGATAATAAACAGAAACTGAAAATTTCATATAATTTTCAAAGTAAAAGGGGCATAACTCTGCCAAAAATCATCGAACCATGACCAAATTCCAACTTGACCTGTATTTTCTCATGACATATCCATATGTCAAATTTGAGTTGAATGTGTTGTACCGTTGGGGAGATAATGAACGGAAACTGAAAATTTCATATTATTTTCAAAGTGAAAGGGGGGGGGGGCATAACTCTGCCAAAAATCATCAAACCATGACCAAATTCGAACTTGACCTGTATTTTCTCATGACATATCCACATGTCAAATTTGAGTTGAATGTGTGCAACCGTTACTAAGATAATGAACGAAAACTGATGATGGCGGAATGACAGAATGATGGAAGGACGGAATGACGAAGGACGGAACAGGGTAACACTATATGCCCCGGCCATTACATGGCAGGGGCATAAAAACTGTTTACAGTGACCTTCGATGGGAGAAAAGAAAAAGGTCATTATAGACAGGGAGTCACTGTGAACAGTCTCTACAGAATTCAGATATATGAACATATCAATTTGTACCAATATTTTGTTGAAAAGCAGGATAGTGCCATACTTAGGGTTTAATTATATTCTATATTGATATTAAACATACCAAATAACAAGACAGTATATTAAAATTGCATGTATAATTGGTTAAGATTATAAACTACACCATTTATTTTACATAAGTATTTAAAAGTTACATATTGATTAAAAATGTAATTTATATTGATAAATCTGTTTGTAAAAAAAGGCTTAACTTCAATTTTACTAATGAGATGTTAGAGACATTTAATTTTGTATAATCAGCCTGTTTACTAAACGGAGTTCAATGTATTAATAAAACATTAGATACATAAAACAAGATTGCATTTGAGAAAAATGCTATGCCACCGCATTAATACCTAAGCTCTAGGCCTTTTGGGCATTTACAAGAAGGTATTTTAAGTTTTTGAAGCCTTGTACCTTGTACCTACAGACAATAAGATTTTTTTATTTTTTACTATATGTATATATTGAAAATCAATGACCCCCGGGGCGGGGGCAATTTTGACCCCAGGGCTATAATTTGAACAATCTTGCTAGAGGTTCACTACACAATGTTTCATGCAAAATATCTAACCTCTAGCATTTGTCAATTGCTAGAAGAAATTTTTTTAAAGTTTTTACTATATACATATAACGAAAACCAATGACCCCCGGGGCAGGGCCGATTTTGACCCCAGGGCTATAATTTGAACAATCTGGGTAGAGGTCTACAACACAATGCCTTTAATGCTCTAGGCCTTTTGGGTCTTTACAAGTAGGTATTTAAAGTTTTTACTATATGTACATATAGTGAAAATCAATGACCCCCGGGGCGGGGCCGATTTTGACCCTAGGGCTATAATTTGAACAATCTTGGTAGAGGTCTACCAGGCAATGCCTTATGCAAAATATCTAAGCTCTAGGCTATTTGGGTCTTTACAATAAGGTATTTTAAGTTTTTACTATATGTACATATAGTGAAAATCAATGACCCCGGGGCAGGGCCGATTTTGACCCCAGGGCTATAATTTGAACAATCTTGGTAGAGGTCTACCAGACAATGCCTTATGCAAAATATCTAAGCTCTAGGCCTTTTGGGTCTTTACAAGAAGAATTTTTAAATTTATTCTTATAATTCCTTTTGGTTGCCATGGCAACCAGATTTCTGCATGGAATGAAATTCTTTGAACAACTTTGGAAGCCCTTCACCCAAGGATCAATCCTGCCAAGTTTGGTTGAAATTGGACTATTGGTTTTTCACAAGAAGATTTTTTACGTTCACTATATAATCTATATAACAATGACCCGGGGCGGGGCCTATTTTGACCCCAGGGCTATAATTTGAACAATGTTGGTAGAGGTCTACCAGACAATGCCTTATTCAAAATATCTAAGCTCTAGGCTATTTGGGTCTTTACAATAAGGTATTTTAAGTTTTTACTATATGTACATATAGTGAAAATCAATGACCCCGGGGCAGGGCCGATTTTGACCCCAGGGCTATAATTTGAACAATCTTGGTAGAGGTCTACCAGACAATGCCTTATGCAAAATATCTAAGCTCTAGGCCTTTTGGGTCTTTACAAGAAGATTTTTTAAATTTGTTCTTATAATTCCTTTTGGTTGCCATGGCAACCAGATTTCTGCATGGAATGAAATTCTCTGAACAACTTTGGAAG